GCCCCCTGGCCCTGTGTCGGCACACTTGTTTCCACTACCCTCCCCCTGAGTATAACCCATGTGCACCTGTCCCCGTTCCTCCTCGACTCCTCCTTCTTCTGCTTCAAGTCCAGCAGGAGTTTCTTGTGCTGTTCCCTCTGCATTACCGTGCGGTCTGGGTGAATAAATACATCCCGAAATGCCTCGCTCCTTGCTAAGTTTTCTGCCTACCGGATAACTTGCCATTTCTCCTCCTCACTCCCTAGTGTGATCCTGAGGGGGCGAGGCTTAGCCCCTGCTTTTGTCCCAGTCTCCTCACATCCTGAGGGGTTGCTGGAATCTTCAGAACCTCTGTGCAAATATTTTGAAACAGCACCTTGTCGTGTGTTTCCTTACTCACAGTTCCCTCTGCCTGGCTCTCTGGGACTCCAAAAACTATTACATTGTTCCTGCGCTGGAGCCGTTCCTGGTGTTCCTCCTCTCCCCTAACAGTCGGTGCGTTAATTTTCATTTCTTCGACACACTTTTTCAGAGTCCCAATCTGCTGTAGAACCTGTACTGATTCTGCATTACTCTCCGCCCCCCCCCGTGGCCCTCCTAATACGTCAGCATAACTCCTCTTAGCAACCACCTCCATTCTATTAGCTACTTCCTCAGTCTTAGCAAGGATCTCTTTCTCAACTTGCTCCAGTTTGTCAACCAGCAGGGCTCCTGCTTCATCTATTTTCGTCCCTAGAGAACTCGTTCCCTTATGGATTGCAATCGCTTCATTCACCTTGACTATGCAGCCAGGGCAATACCAGCAACAGCCATCAAGCTTTACGGCAGTTAGTAACTTCCTAAACGTTGCATTAGTTAGGCCTGCATCCTCCATATCCGACGTCTCCCTGCAGTAATCACATATCAAACTCATGGTTGTTGTTGTTGTGGGGGGGGGGGTGCAGACTGTGTATAAATCTACACCTATTTCAAAGAAAATAAAGAGAGAAAAAGTACTTAGCTACTCTCTGTTGCCTATAGAGTTGTCGTCTGCGACTGCGTACACTGTATCTCCCTGTGAATGGTGTATTGTAGGCACAGTTTCAGTCCTTGAGAAAGCACACAATCAACATAAAATTTAAAGTCTCTGTGGCACCTATGACACGACTTGGTTTCAGCTGGCACGGTGCCTTTCCAGCTTGCTTGCTAGTGAGCGCTCACTTTAAGTTATTTACAACTTCAGCGGTCACTGATGACACTATGAACTATCACTGTGTACACTGTATCTCCCTGTGAGTGGTGTATTATAAACACAGATTCAGTCCTTGAGAAAGCACACAAACAAAATAAAATTTAAAGTCTCTGTGGCACCTATGACACGAATAGGCTGGCAGTTGTCCTTACCAGCTCGATTGCCAATATGTATTCACTTTAAGTTATTATAGTCTCTTCTGCATTCACTGATGACAACTATGAACTGATTTAACTGAAGGCACAGTACTACACTCCCTGGTTGGCCTTTATCACAGCCGTGACCACAACACCCTAAAAAATAAAATAAAATAAAAGCTTTGTCATGTGGCAGTGATTGTGTGGTTATAGGCCTGTGACCCTGGCTGTACCTCCAACTCGGTGGAAATTGAGTTTTCAAAAATACAATCGTGTCTAGCATGAAAAGTCCGACATCGATTTACACTTTCACCTCACTAAGACGATCTTGACGAACTTATGTAATCGCTGTCCAATTTCTGCCGCTCTACATCGAAGGCCCGAATGTCTGGGAAGGGATCACGACAGGTAACAACTCGGACACGGACCATGTCATCTTGACCTGGGCAGAAAATACAGCGTCAATATTTTTCAATATGTAATTTTAACAGATCGTCATCACTTTGGGTTAATGTTATATTTGGGAGGAAGTTAAATAACAAAACGTATATATGCAACAAAATTTATTCTTTATATGCAGTTTACAGTTTAACTATATTTGATACTCGAACAAATAAAACACAATAGAAAATTTTGTGATGCTTCCTAAAGATAATCATCTGTAGTTCCGGGAAATTATGAAGAGAAGTTGAGTTCTGGAGAAGTCTAGAAAGATGCTCTTCGTGGTCAGTCACCTGGGGGGGTTAGAAAACCTTTATATTTTATCTTGTGTGATAAATACATGACACGGAAATGTGTTACGTAAGCAAATAAAAATATAAACTCAAAAGAGAGATCAAACTTACAGGAAATACTTCAACCATGGTGAGAGGGCGGGCATGGGCAGCAACGAGGAGGTGACTGTTGACCGCCATGTCTTTGAATAATCGTGATCTCGATCTTTATTATGGTGGTAGTTTCTGGGCAGCGGCAGCAAGGAAAGTGGGCTGCTCGCTCCACCCGAGCCTCCGACATGGACGAGGACAACTCTATGGGACTATCCTGTATAGAAGATTGTTAGCGTCAGTGACAGAACTCCTATTATTGCTCAACATGATATTATCTCTCTCTCTCTCTCTCTCTCTCTCTCTCTCTCTCTCTCTCTCTCAACTAGACGTCTTTGGAACTCACTTAATCATATTGGGAAGTGTACCACACAAATAACTACAACACGGGGATTACACTCGTCTAGAAATTTGCAAAGATTCGTAGATAAGGCACTGACGATGACATGGACACAGACGCATTGTGTTTTGTGGACAAAACACAACATAGTGTGGTCACACACACACACACACACACACAAGCACACAGAGGTGTAGACAAAAAGATGTGTGATGTATCGAGTATTGGTTTTATAATATAGTAAATGTTAATAAAAATAATGAAAGAATTAAAAATAAACTTGCACATCACGATGACTTATGTCCACCGAGCTTGAGGAATGAATCTTACTAAAAATGTTGACGCGTCTTAGCGCACATGACTGGGTATATGAAATTAGGTTAGTGAATATATCTAAGTTTTGTTTTGTGTTTATAACCGGACAACAGGGTGTAACGGAAGACATGTCGCAGGTGCTGTGAGTGTTACCACCAGCAGGAGTGTAAGGGAGGACTTACCGCAGGGGCTGCGTGTGTTCCCACCAACAGGAGGCTCAGAGCCATCACCACCATCATCATCACACACTTCATATTAACGAGCTGTTGAAAAAATACAAGTTATACAAAACATAATTTTTCATGTGGAGGTTTATGAGCACACACAAGAATGTTATTATCACAGGGGAAGTATTTGTGTTTATCTCAGTCTGTTATTGTAAATAAAGTAAGAACTGTAAGGACTGTTGAGATGAAGGGAAGAGGTAGAACGTAACCTAATCGAACTTAACCTGTTTGTTTTACTTGCTGGAAAACAAGTTGTGTATGATATTCCTCGAGTCTTCTCACTGTATATATACCGGACTGGTCGGGCCTTGAAGCGGGGTTGTCATGGTCACGTTGACTGCTGATCTATTTAACTAATGATTCTTATTAAATTTCACGACCGCAAAACATGAGTGAGTTAGCGACCCCCGAGAAGACGAGTTTTTCCCCACTTGTGTTCCCTCCCAGATTCCTGCCTTTGTGAAGACAGTTATCAATGCGTTGTTATTCCACTTTCTCCTGGGAAGCTCAATCTTGAATTAGTCTGTGTATATCAACTCAAGTAATTCGCCAGACCTTTGTCAACAGAGGGTCATCTTTGAATGAGTAACAGTTAGTTTGTTTGTGATTACTGTCATTGCGTGAGTAGCGATCGGTACGGTACGGAGTCTTTAGTTATGAGGTGAAAGAAGATTATTAGGGGTTGAAGGAAAAGTGGTGAAACTGAGATACAGTAGGAGTAGAAAGAATCTGGGCTCAACCAGATCGCTTCATCTTTCCTCTTGGTCTTTCATCTTTGTTCTGCTCCCTTGGGTCGTCAGACCTTTGTATTAATATTGGTTTTTTATATAGTGCTGCTTATTATTATTATTTTCTATTTATTGTTTGAATTAGTGAGCCCGCCCAGGTCCTTGCGTAACTGGGAGGGTAGTCACATTTTTTTTCTTTTTTTTTTTTTTGCTAAGGTGTTAGTTAAGTGTTAGTTGTGTTAGTCTAAAGGTACACTGTATGGAGAGGCCTGCCAGGTTCTTAGTGGAGCTGGTAGGTCACTTTCATCTTTTATTTTCTCTATTAATGTTTTATGTGTATATGTGTATATTGGGGCAGGAGGTGGGTCAATTACTTCTTCCTGGCTGATGTAGCTGGGAGGGTAATCACATTATTATTAATATTATTATTATTATTATTTTTTTTTTTTTACAGCGTCAAAAGTCTCTAGATATTTTGTAAATGTTTTGGGATGAATTGATAAGTAAGAATACCATATCAACAATTAAAACATTTATATTAGGAAAAACATCATTATAACTAAAGTGTTCACAGGAACGGTTAGTAAGAAGAGGATATGTGAGATGAGACAATAAATTATTACAAATTATAAATATACATTTCAGAATTTATATATAGAACTATTTAATTCATACTACACAGAGCCTGCATATAACCAGGGCTTACCAACACTGCTTAAGACGGAGCCTGTATCATCTACCAACCACAACCACCACTAACATTGTGTTAACAGAAGAGCCTCAAAATTATCAATCACATTTACCCCTTATATTTTGTGAACACATGAACATTATCAACCACAATCACCAATAACATTGCATTTTAGCAGCAAGTAAATTTGCAATCAAAATCTCGTTGAGGAAATGTTAGTTCTGAAAACAATGGCCGTATCATGTTACCCAGCCATCGGTGGTAACACTTAGTCATGTAACATAACCCGACTAACACGGTGATATAAGAATCGCAATAATGACCCGATTGGAAAAGAAAACAAATGAGTCTTCGTGTGTCAACAGAGTCTGGGCAGGGATCACGACAGGTAGCAACTCGGACAGGGACCATGTCATCTTGACCTGGGCAGAAAATACAGCGTCAATATTTTTCAATATGTAATTTTAACAGATCGTCATCACTTTGGGTTAATGTTATATTGGGGAGGAAGTTAAATAACAAAACGTATATATGCAACAAAATTTATTCTTTATATGCAGTTTACAGTTTAACTATATTTGATACTCGAACAAATAAAACACAATAGAAAATTTTGTGATGCTTCCTAAAGATAATCATCTGTAGTTCCGGGAAATTATGAAGAGAAGTTGAGTTCTGGAGAAGTCTAGAAAGATGCTCTTCGTGGTCAGTCACCTGGGGGCTTAGAAAACCTTTATATTTTATCTTGTGTGATAAATACATGACACGGAAATGTGTTACGTAAGCAAATAAAAATATAAACTCAAAAGAGAGATCAAACTTACAGGAAATACTTCAACCATGGTGAGAGGGCGGGCATGGGCAGCAACGAGGAGGTGACTGTTGACCGCCATGTCTTTGAATAATCGTGATCTCGATCTTTATTTTGGTGGTAGTTTCTGGGCAGCGGCAGCAAGGAAAGTGGGCTGCTCGCTCCACCCGAGCCTCCGACATGGACGAGGACAACTCTATGGGACTATCCTGTATAGAAGATTGTTAGCGTCAGTGACAGAACTCCTATTATTGCTCAACATGATATTATCTCTCTCTCTCTCTCTCTCTCTCTCTCTCTCTCTCTCTCTCTCTCAACTAGACGTCTTTGGAACTCACTTAATCATATTGGGAAGTGTACCACACAAATAACTACAACACGGGGATTACACTCGTCTAGAAATTTGCAAAGATTCGTAGATAAGGCACTGACGATGACATGGACACAGACGCATTGTGTTTTGTGGACAAAACACAACATAGTGTGGTCACACACACACACACACACACAAGCACACAGAGGTGTAGACAAAAAGATGTGTGATGTATCGAGTATTGGTTTTATAATATAGTAAATGTTAATAAAAATAATGAAAGAATTAAAAATAAACTTGCACATCACGATGACTTATGTCCACCGAGCTTGAGGAATGAATCTTACTAAAAATGTTGACGCGTCTTAGCGCACATGACTGGGTATATGAAATTAGGTTAGTGAATATATCTAAGTTTTGTTTTGTGTTTATAACCAGACAACAGGGTGTAACGGAAGACATGTCGCAGGTGCTGTGAGTGTTACCACCAGCAGGAGTGTAAGGGAGGACTTACCGCAGGGGCTGCGTGTGTTCCCACCAACAGGAGGCTCAGAGCCATCACCACCATCATCATCACACACTTCATATTAACGAGCTGTTGAAAAAATACAAGTTATACAAAACATAATTTTTCATGTGGAGGTTTATGAGCACACACAAGAATGTTATTATCACAGGGAAGTGTTTGTGTTTATCTCAGTCTGTTATTGTAAATAAAGTAAGAACTGTAAGGACTGTTGAGATGAAGGGAAGAGGTAGAACGTAACCTAATCGAACTTAACCTGTTTGTTTTACTTGCTGGAAGACAAGTTGTGTATGATATTCCTCGAGTCTTCTCACTGTATATATACCGGACTGGTCGGGCCTTGAAGCGGGTTTGTCATGGTCACGTTGACTGCTCACCTACGCCTCCCCAACCTGGTTTTCCTCCCTAAATGCCACACAACGTAAACACCTAGAAAAAGTGCAAAAGAGGGCATGCAAGATTATTCTCTCCCCTTCCTACTCCACATATCAAGAAGCGCTCAACACACTGACCCTTTCGACTCTCACTGACCATCACCACGACCTCATCTGCAAATTTGGTAAGATGCTTCTACACCATCCTCGACACCGGCTCCTACTACCACCTGAGATCCCTAGCCCGAGAATTGCTGTTCGACACCACAACCGCATCCAGCCCATACGTGAACGAACTGATCGCTATAAGAACAGCCCAGTCCCAACCATTGTAAAAATTATCAATAACTTGTAATAAACCAGTGTATTCACTCCCAGTAAATACTACTTCTTGCACTGTCACTATGTTGAAATGCACTGTAGTTTGAGCTTTTCCCCATCTAGTTATTATATATCTTATTTGTATCACTTATGTTACTTGTATATTATTTGTAATTCGAAACCCATTCCCCAAATATGTAACTGTATATTTTCAGCCTTCTGGCTGCCAAGCTCTTTCAATAAACCGTTAATTATTATTATTATTATTATTATCTATTTAACTAATGATTCTTATTAAATTCCACGACCGCAAAACATGAGTGAGTTAGCGACCCCCGAGAAGAGGTGTTTTTCCCCACTTGTGTTCCCTCCCAGAGTCCTGCCTTTGTGAAGACAGTTATCAATGCGTTGTTATTCCACTTTCTCCTGGGAAGCTCAATCTTGAATTAGTCTGTGTATATCAACTCAAGTAATTCGCCAGACCTTTGTCAACTGAGGGTTCATCTTTGAATGAGTAACAGTTAGTTTTTTTGTGATTACTGTCATTGCGTGAGTAGCGATCACTAGCAACTCAGGGGTATTTATACCCGTGCATCTCACAAGAGGCGCTTGTGGTAGAAGGGGTACCGCTCTTGCCTCGCAAGCAAGATGACACGGGTTCGATTCCCGGGCAAGCGGAAGTTGTTTGGACACACTTCCTAGCCCCCTTGGTCCCTGTTCACCTAGCAGTAAAGTAGGTACCTGTTGTAAATCGAAAGGTTGCGAATTCGTATTCAGGGAAAGTTGTTGGAGCTTCTAAACTTGAACTGACACAACCCGGAGGAGTGGTGACCCCAGGATCACACACCCAACACAGACAAAACCCAATACGTGAGCTATGCGCTAACCAAATAAACGCAGTCGTGTAAAGCCACGGCACTATCTCTCCCACTACAATTCCCTTCCTAACCTCCTGCTCCTTCCTCTGTCATCTTCCCCGCTCTGACTTTCGCTACCAACAACTTTTTTTGGAGCTTCTAAACTTGAACTGACAAGAAGAGCGCCCCCTGACGCCTCTCCACTGTTTCTCCAGGTATGTTTATGTGTAGCCATTCAGTTAATTCAGTCAATTGTAGTGAATATCAGTGTTCATCAGTGTTCATGCTTTAACAGTTGAATTGTCATTCACCCATTGTAAGAAGTAATATAACGTAAATACGTCTGTCGTCTAGACAAGAGAGTTGGTTGTGTTGTCATGCTTCCCAGTCCCTTCCCTGACGCTGCTCCAATGTTTCTCCAGATCCCATTGTGATTCTGGCATCGCTCAACAACTCAACAACGGCCCCGGATGTAGTAGAAACCCAGCAGGGATCATATATGAAGCGATGGCACCGATGCTGTCTGATTAAGGTGCTCCACTGCCTCGTTGGGCCAGACCCCAGACTCGCCATGTGTCTGGCTACTGCCGACCACAACAACGGTCGTGAGCCCCAGTGTTCTACCCTGGGTTACTCCTTGGAAGTATATGTCAACAGAGAATGTTGTAATATGTATGCTAGGGATAATTAGTTGGAAATAATTATCCCATGTTGGGTAGTGGACCCCAGGTATCTGCTGATTTAATTATTAACGAGTATGTTGAGTAAAGTAATCTACAATGAGTGCCATGTACTATGTATTGTGAGTAGGGCCATGTAACACCAGTAATGTTGTGTACAGTAAGAGTGTAAGATCTGAGTAATTACTGTTGAGTAAAGAAATAAGAAAATAAGTAAATAAGACAATAAGTAAAAAGAAAGTACTGAGTCTGCAATAAGCCCAGGAGTTGAACCTGGTAGTTATATAATTAATAATATATATTTTTCCCTTTGATTTCATATTAATAAATTTGTTTTTAGAGTACTTTAGGTGTATTCATATCTCCCACAGTATTTTACCTTTATTTCCGTCCAAGTGACTTGATACCAAATTACCATACCCATGTGCCTAGACCCTCGACCATGCTACCAAAAGAATAACCATGCTACCAAAAGAATGTCCATGCTACCAAAAGAATAAGTGACAGAACTGAGTAAGAGTAAGAACTAAGAGAAGTAAGTAAGATGAGGGTGGTGTAGAGGTGTGGGAAACACGCGCCCTCACAGGGTGGGGGAAGGACAGTTGGTATCAGCAAGAATACTGGCATTTGTTCTCTTGTCTTCCCAGCGAACTCGGAGGAAAGGACGTAGTCTACATTGGAGAAAGTTTTCAAGTGCCTTGAGGTGCCTCCTGGATGTGATCCATGTCTCGCTGCCACATCAGTGGTTGTTTTATATTTTAACTCATGACGTAATAAGAGAGGTGAAAGTATATCGATATTAGTAGAGAGACGTGGTAGTGATATTACGTTATTTACTTAGGAGGTGAGTCACACGGTGTTATCAGACGACACTGCTCTAGTGAATGATTCAGAAGCAGAGCCGCAAATGTTAGTGAGTGAGTTAGTAAGTGTGATTGTTAAGAAATCCTTAGCAGTGAATGTGAATGAAAGGAGACTATGATAACGTAATGTTATCCTGAATGAATATAGAATCGAAGAAATGGGTTGTTTTAGATAGTTAACATAAGAACATAAGAACATAAGAACGTGGGATACTGCAGGAGGCCGACTGGCCCATACAGGGCAGATCCCTTTCACACCCATCCCAGCACTTCCATGTGCCTATCCAACTTCGTCTTGAAGCTCCCTAGCGTCCCCGATCCTACTATAGCACTCGGTAGCCTATTCCACATATCCACAACTCTATTACCAAACCAGTGCTTGCCTATATCCTTTCTGAATCGGAATTTATCTAATTTACAGCCATTTGTTCTAGTTATTTCGTTATTACTGAGCTTCAGAACATCTTCCATTTACCCTTGTTAATCCCACTCTACTCACTTCTTGTACACCTCTATCATCTCCCTAACTCTAAGGCCTCTCTATAATGAATGTAAGCCTGCTTTTTCAGTTCTTTCTTCATATGGAAGGTTTCTAATATTATGGATCATTTTTGTCATTCTCTTTGTATCTCCTCTCCAAAGAATCTATGTCCATTCTATATAATAAGGACACCAGAACTGAACCGCATAATCCATGTGTGGCCCTTACCTAATGCTAGGTAAAGTTTCAAGATAACGTCAGCAGTTCGTTTGCTACTCACACCCTAGATATATGAACCCAAGAACTTGTTTGCCTTGTTGTAACGCTAATACATTGTTTCTAGGTTTCAAATCGTTGCTAATAAATACACCTAGATCTTTTCACAAACTGAGTTTTCTATTTCCGTGTTACCTAGTTTATACTTAACGTTTGTATTCGTCTTCTCCTATCTGTAGTACCTGCATTTATCAGTATTAAAATTCATATCGCCAGTCTACTGACCACCATGTAAGGTATCTAGATCTCTTTGAAGGTGTTCAAAGTCACTGTCTGAATTTATCACTTCCCATTTTGGTATCATCTGCAAATCTCTACTAACTTAGTTATGCCTAAATCAAGATCATTAATGAATATAACAAACAGCAGAGGGCCTAATACAGATCCTGGGGAACTCATGACCCCACCCCAGTCTGGATTCTTAATCCATTTATGTTGACTTTGTTTTACCAGTTAACCATGACCCAATCCATTTTAATACTGATCCACCTATTCCATGTGCTTCTACCTCTTATCAATCTCTGAGGGACCTATCGAATGCTTTACTGAAATCTAAGTAAATTATATCATATGACTTATCATTATCTACCGCTTCAAATACTTCTGAGAAAAAGCTAAGCAAATTTAGAGACAAGAACGTCCCTGGGTGAACCCGCAGGCTGAGAAGAATGAATTAAGTTTAAATGTTTCAAGGTGGCTTGGATTTTGTAGTAATAATTGACTCACCAACTTGCCTATGATTGACGTGAGACTAATGGACGGTAATTTGATGCTATTGATTTATCACCCTTTTTGAAAATCGAACTACATTTGTAAGTTTCCAAGCTTCTGGCACTAGCCCGATTCTAATGACTTATTAAATAAAACTGCTAATGGATTACTCAACCATCTCTACATTCTTTAATATTCTAGCATATACCCTCGCCTGGACCAGGCGATTTATGAGGCTTCAGTTTGTTAATTACTTTAAGCAATATCGCGTTATTTAGTAATATTGATATTCATCAACATATTTTATACCAATGTTATATACCTTTGCGAACTTCTGGAAACTGTGCTAGGTTTTCATTTGTGAATACGGAGCGAAAATGACTATTAACGCGTACTACACATTTCTAACTCATCATCAGTCATTTCTCCTGTCGAAGTTTTAAGGGGACCTATTGTATTCCTAACCTTTGATTTATACAGTTGATAAAAGCTTTGGGGGTTATTTTTCTTCGATTCGCTTGCTACCTTGATTTCATATAATTTCTCTTTGCTTTCCTAATTTCTGTTTTTACCCGTCTTGTTAGGCTCTGATAGTAACCAAGCAAGTGATTTTCGCCTTCTTAACTTCTTTTCTATATACCCTTTCTTTTTTCCCTCTAGAAGCATCTAAGAGTCTATTATTCATCCATTTTGGTTGGTTCTGTGACGATTCGGAATTTTCTTTTTAGGGATGTGTTTATTTTGG